AGAAAGCACATACCTTGATGGTTTTGTTACAGAAGACAAGTCTTTTAGAACCTTTAACTATAAACTCAAGTCTACCACTAATTACTGCTGAGACTCCCATAGTGGTTTCCATTTGCCTGTCATACTAAGTACCAACTCCACAGCCTCCTCATAGTGATCATAACCTACTTTTCTAGTCCTACCTCCCACTACTTTCATCTGTTTTACGTAAACTCTGCTAGGCTGGACTGCTCTGTCCTTTACCATACATTGAACTTACTTGCCTCTAGGCTTTGGCTCAGATGAGCTCTTATCTACAGCATGCCTTTTGCGTGGTGCTCTTTTCCCATAAACTCCCCATATAACTGTCAAAATCCTACCCTTCCTTCTGCAGTTCATGAGCCTCAATAAAGTATGCCAGCTAAATGTATTCTTTACCCCCACGTCTTTCATGTTTCTTAAAATACCTTAATTCTTTTCATACATACATTCTTCACCATCTTCATTACCTGGCACAATTCTGCTTGTTCTTTAAGAACTCACCTACTCAATTTTTCCTTTTAGAAAGTCTGCCCAGACCTCCCACCCCAGCCCCCACAGGTAGTGCTCCTTGTGTTTAATTGTCTTTGCTTGGCACTATTTTTATAGCCCCAGAAATGGAGTGCAAATAATTTTTCCAACTATAAAGAAAGATATTTAGGTTCTGATCATTCATCCACATCCCATCCCTCCCCCACACTGGAAAAAAGAGGTTAAGTCTCTTAATTATGCCTCTTTCTGGGCCTCACATATGAAAACATGAGCTCATTGTTTGCTTAACTAGGAACAGGAAACTTAGGGTAATGTGTCTTCAGCCTGTCTAGTTGGTATGGCTTGTGAACCCAAGGAGAGATAAAAGCATTTTTTGTTGTTCATGATTATAAAAGCAGTGTATATACAATACAAAAGATTTGGAAAGTACATATTTCAAATAGGAAGAAAACTCACTCATAATTCACCACCAAAAGATGACATCAATAATAATGTATTTTACAAACTCTTCATAAGCATTTTTACTTAGAACTGTATTTTATGGGAGTATTAAATACAACTTTATTATTAGCTATCTGGGATCCCTTTTTACCTTTATTTCAAACAACATTGCAGTGAACATCTTTGGTTGTTATTCTCTGAAGTTATTTTGTTAAATATCTTCAGAGATTATGGTGTCATAAAATATGTTCCAGGAAATTTTAATCAATTTTTAGTTCCACCCGGAAGTATATTATGTGTGCCTGTTTCATTGTGACCTCACTAACCCTGGTTAGTCTTGTTTTTAATATTTGCTTAATGAGTCTTTCTAAATGATTTGTCATCCTACCATCTAAAAATAGCTGTTTTTCTGTCTTCTCCTCCTCTCTCCTATACCAATTTATTCCTATCTGGGTGCTTTTCTTTACAGGGGAAAACACAGTTCTCCCTCTCAAACCTGCTCCAGATCTCCCATTAAAACAAAGCAGGGCCTACCCTCTTCCCCACGCTTTTCCCCTCTACTCACTCACAGATTTCTCTAAAGAATAATTATACATGTGTCTACATGTCTCTCATTAAAAAACCTGTATGGATGTGAATTTTTTATTCACTCAATCATTCAGGAAATATTTTAGATTACCTAGTTCATGCCAGGTAGTGTGCTAGTGAAAAGAAAGCAAGCAGAGATAGAAACCACCTATGCCTTCTCTGCCCTCATAAAACATTCACAGTGGGAAGCAGGTAATGTTTATAAGTTCATAAGGTAATATAAAGTTTGATTGTGATAAGTGCTAAGAAGGAAAGATACTTGTTACACTGAAGAGCTTACAGTGGTGAGTCAAGAAAGACGTCCATGAACTAGTAATTGAGCTGAGATCTGAAGATACGATCGGGATTAATAAGCAAAAGGAGTTTGCCTGTACTCCAGAACTGTTTTTGCCAAGTTCAGTAATCTTCATGCTGGTAGGTCCATGGGTGCTGGTTGTATATCTACTTGACCTAAGCAGTGTTTGATAGGGTTGATTTCTTGTCCATTGAATCTTGCTACTTAGGATTCTGATTCCTTACATGAGCTCATCCACTCTTGTTATTTTAATTGTCTTCTGTGTGTCAAAGATACCCAAGCTTGTATCTCTGGACATGCCTTGCAAAGTCAAACTTAACATAGGCAGAATGAAATCCTTGACAATTCCATGCACATATTTTTTTCCCAGTAACCCTGGAATCATTCTTCTCCTGCTTCACCATTGTCTCCCTTAATATTGCTAATAAATTGCTCCCTGTGTGCTGAGCACTATGCTAAATGCTCATATGTTTTTTCCTCCATTTGGAAGACTCTTCATTTGCTTAAGGAGAAGTATAGTGTTGCTTCATTTGTTGCTTAATTCTATTTATTGAGTGTGATAACTTACTTGATCAGTTGTTTTTTTTTTTTAATTTTTTTTTTAGGAGGGAGATAATTCAGTTTGTTTGTTTATTACTTAATGGAGGGACTGGAGATTGAACCCACGACGTTGTGCATGCTAAGCAGGTGCTCCACCACTAAGCTACACCCTCCCCTAGAGTTTTTTTTGTTTTGTTTTGTTTTGTTTTTTGATTGAAGTATAGTCAGTTGCAGTGTGTCAATTTCTGGTTTACAGCATAATGTCCCAGTCATGCATATATATACATATGTTTGTTTCCATATTCTTTTTCATTAAAGGTTATTATAAGATATTGAATACAGTTCCTTGTGCTATACAGAAGAAATTTATTTTTTATCTATTTTTATATATAGTGGTTAACATTTGCAAATCTCAGACTCCCAAATTTATCCCTTCCTACCCCCTTTCCCTGGTAACCGTAGGATTGTTTACTGTGCGTTTCATTTGTAGATGAGTTCATTAGTGTCTTCTTTTTTCTTTTTTTCTTTTTTTAGATTCCACGTATGAGTGATAATCATGATATTTTTCTTTCTCTCCCTGGCTTATTTCACTTAGAATGATGATCTCCAGGTCCATCCATGTTGCTGCAAATGGCATTATTTTGTTCTTTATTTATGGCTGAGTAGTTTCCATTGGGTAAACATAACACTACTTCTTTATCCAGTCATCTTGTCAGTGGACATTAAGGTTGTTTCCATGTCTTGGCTATTGTAAATAGTGCTGCTGTGAATATTGGGTATCTTTTCGAATTAGAGTTCCCTCCAGATATGTGCCCAGGAGTGGGATTGCTAGATCATAGGGTAAGTGTATTTTTAGTCTTTTGAGGAATCTCCATACTGTTTTCCATAATGGCTACTTACACCAAAATACATTCCCACCAGCAGAGTAGGAGTGTTCCCTTTTCTCCACAGCCTCTCCAGCATTTATCATTTGTGGACTTTTTAATGGTGACCATTCTGATTGGTGTGAGGTGATATCTCATTGTAGTTTTGATTTGCATTTCTCTGATAATTAGCAATATTAAGCATTTTTTCATGTGCCTATTGGTCATTTGTATGTCTTCATTGGAGAATTTCTTGTTGAGGTCTTCTGCCCATTTTTGGATTGGGTTTTTTTTTTGTTATTAAATTGTATGAGCTATTTACATATTCTGGAAATTAAGCCTTTGTCAGTCATATCATTTGCAAATATTTTCTCTCATTCCATAGGTGGGCTTTGTGTTTTGTTTATGGTTTCCTTTGCTGTGCAAAAAGCTTGTAAGTTTAATTAGATCCTATTTATTTTTGCTTTTATTTTTATTGCCGGGGTAGACTGCCCTAGGAGAACATTGCTAAGATTTATGTCAGAGAATGTTTTGCTTGTGTTTTCTTCTAGGTTTATATTGTCTTGTCATTTGAGTTTATTTTTGTGAGTGGAGTGAGGGAGTGTTCTAACTTTATTGATTTACATGTTGCTGTCCAGTTTTCCCAACACCTCTTGCTGAAAAGACTGTCTTTTCTCCATTGTATAGTCTTGCCTCCTTTGTCAAGGATTAGTTGACCATAGGTCTGTGGGTTTATTTCTGGGTTCTCTGTTGTGTTCTGTTCATCTGTGTGTCTGTTTTTGTGCCAATATTACACGGTTTTGATTACTGTAGCTTGGTCAGTTTTAAAAGTGTATGAGGAGTGGATTAACATTTTTCTCCATAATGGTTTTTCCCCATCATCCTAATGTGATGTTATTAACTTCTTGTTTAATTTTTAAGTCTTTTTCTCAGTATGTAGTAAAGCAAGAGGGGGTCTACAAAGGGTCTGTTGCTGCTTTTCCTGGATTATACCTTCCATTTTAACATACCTTTGTAAGATACACAAAACAAACTTATGATTACCAGGGGAAAAGGGGTGGGGAAGGATAAATTGGGAGTTTGGGATTTGTAGATACTAAGTACTATATATAAAACAGATAAACAACAAGGTCTTACTGTATAGCACAGGGAACTATATTCAATATCTTGTAATGGCCTACAATGAAAAAGAATATGAAAAAGAATACAAATAAATGTATAAATGAATCACTGTGCTGCATACTAGAATTAACATTCTTTGTGACTCTTATGATACATAGCCAGTTTTTCTGTTACTTTTATCCAGAGTCCTTCAGTTGGCAGATAGACTGATTTCTATATATTGTTAATTTTTATCTTATTTATGTCAGTGATTAAAAATGTTTTATTGACACAAATAATTCTTAACCTGAAAATCTAATTATCATAAAGGAGAAAATAAATTTCTCATCTCAGCACCCAAAATTAATGTCTTAATTTTATTATGTGATATTTTGTTGTATGTCTTTTGTTTATAAATGGAAGAGGGAAAGATGAAGAAGACAGAGGAAGAGGAAGGGGGAACAAATTTCTATGTCAAATATCTTCAACATTTTTGTCAGTTTAATTGTTTTGTAAATTAATAGCTTCTCCAGAGTAGGGAGAAAACAAGTATTCTTTGTTTTAGTACCAAGCACAATGCCTGATACATAAACATTCAGTAAATGTTTAAAGAATGAATAAAAGAAAGAAACGATCTTTTAAATTTTTTTTTCTCTCTAAAGATTTCTATGGAGAATGATTACCTGGGTCCCCGAAGAATTGAAAGTCTACGAAAAGAAGATGCTGATTGGCAGCGGAAAGCTCATATGGCTGTACTGTCCATTCAGGATCTTACTGTCAAATATTTTGAAATAACAGCTAAAGCTCAAAAGGGTGAGTTTCCCAGTAAAATTATCCTCGTTAGGTATTTTCAAAAATGAGCAGTTTAAGTATTTTGTTTGCAGTAGTTGTATGGAAAAGTATATAAAGACCACTGCTAACAAGTTGAGGTATATCCTTTCAGTCTTTTCTAGGCATATATGTTAACATGTACCTCACCTTTAAAAAAATAATGGTAATATGTAGCATAATTCAATACTGACGGTACTCATTCACAGTTACAGACCTTACAGCTTAAAAGCACAGTCCCCAACATGACTGCTTTTCCTTCAGACACTATTTGCAGATTTGGGGTGTCCTCAGGCCATTTGTATTTCTAACCAGCTGGCTGCAGATATGGGGATTCCTGCAGTCCTTTTAGGTTCGAAAATTCACTAGTGACTCACAGAACTCACGAAAACACATACTTAAAATTTACCTGGCATTAAAATAGTTATTCTGAATATTCTTTCAGCAAATCTACTTTTCCTTAAGTGTCACTGAAAACAGTTTATTCCTTCAGAATGCCGGTGCTGAGTAAGAATACCTTCCTTGATTCCTCAGTATCATTTGGCATTGTCATTTAGAAAAATATACACAGTGCTATGTTTTTAAAATTTGCATTCCTTTGGTTATTACTGAGTGTTTATCTTTTTTGTTTTTATGTAATAATTGATATTTGTATATCCTTCCTTTTTTCCCCAGTTACTATCTTCTGCCTATTTTTCTGATGATGAGTGATTTTTCCCCCATTGATCTATAAGAGTTCCTTATATTATATATATAGTTTTCAGAAGGCGAGTAAAACAGGCCCCTCTTTTACTTCCTTCCTTACATGAAGCCAGGTGTAGCCTAATTTTACTGCTTAACTTTTAAAAACATCTTAAATGAGTCATTTCTGACAAGTATACATATATTAGAACATGATTCCTTTAAACACCAGGACTGTTTTGCCTTATATGTTTTTATACATATAATGATCACCATATCACCATAGGGTATTATTACATGGTTGTTATCCTGATAATGTTGACAGTCATCTTAGCAAAAATATTTATTCTTGCCAGCAGAGGGAGAGAAGAATCTGTTTTAGAAATATTGCAATACTGTTCTAGGGGTATTCCAAGCATTCTGTATTCACAAACAATGTTCCCATTACCTTCATATTCCTAAACTGTTGGAAAATAATTCCAGGTGAAGTGAGTGGCAGTTAGATGGAAGAATACATTCTATCCAGTTGTTGGAGGGCAAAGTATTGACTGAGTGTTGTGGTAGGCAACAACTTGGGACAGAGAGCCGTGCTACAGACAGTCCTTAAGTGGGAAACAAGAGGAAATGCTCTTGACTATTTGTGCAGAATATTTGATGTATGCTGTGATTACAAGTGAAAATGGCAGAAGTAGCAGATTAGGTCTTTAAGCAAGTTGAAATACTAGTTTAACTCTGCTTTTATAGACGAGTAACCTTGGTTTTTTTCACCAAAACTCCTCCCAGTTTCACATATCTATGTTGAAGGTGTTGATAGTGAATACCATGCTTATTCTTTAGGATTGTTGGACAGATAGAGATAACACATGGAAAAAGTGCTTTAACATCATATAAATATGAGTGATTGTGGTGATGTGTGCATGAGAGAGAAGAAACAAAACAGACCATCTCTTTGTTTAATATTGCCATTGAAGTGAGAGGAACATTTGAATTTCTCTCATTTAATTCCCACAAAAGTCCGAGTAGGTACTGTATTTCCCTAATTTCATCACTCGGGGAATTGAGCCCACGGACAGTTAAGTTTCTGCCCTAAGTTACATGCTGATGGGTAGAAGTGGGAATTTAAGTCAAAGCTGTCTAACTCCAAACTCCTTGCTGTTGTTTTTTTCCCCCCCGTGCACAACTGTATTGATGTTATGGTTGCATAAATATTTTTTAAAGATAGGCAGAGATTTAAAATGGCAGAATCATTTGATATTCAAACAACATAAGTAGATATCATTTGTTAAAAACCCTAAAATTAAGGATTAGATTGATGCTCAAATATGTTAGTGTTTAAAGGCCATAGAAAAACAGAGAAACCAAAAGAACTGTATTGAGAGGAGATTCTGAGTAAGCAGATTGCTCATTTGTCATAATAGGAACTAAAAGACTAAACCAATAAATAATGTTCATGAATGGAGGGAGTTGCAAGTTGGTTATATTAAGGCATTGAGACTAAGGGTGGGGTAGAATTGAGCATGAAAAACTGTTCTTTTCCACTGTAAGCCTTTCTGTACAGTTTAATTTTTAAGTATGTGCTTGTATTCTTGTAAAAAAAAATTAAGATTTCATAAAATTCTGAGGCAAAGGTTACTGAGATACTTCCTTGAAAAGAGGGTAATGCTGTAGTAGCAGTACCAAAATACCAATCACTTAACCTCTGAACATATACAAGAAACTACTAGAGAATGTATATTGACTTAAAGACTACATCAAGTACTACGTAATCAGATTTCCTGCCTCTTTATGGTAGTTAAAGTGTGTCCCTGACCTTTTAAAGTGGTTGGGCATATGGATAGTTGGGTTAATTGTTTAAGGACACAAGATGAGCCAGTACCATACTACTGTCAGTGATAAGCTTCTTTAACTGTAAGATATTAGCCGTTTGATTGTCAAAATGTTTCTTGAACAAAGCTTCTATTATGGCATACTAAAAAGTGTCTTCCCTCCTCCCGCACCGTGGTGGCAAGGAGAAGTTGGGTGTCTTCTCTGGGACTTGCTTGTCCTTTAACGCTAACCTTTGCAGTGTAAGCTCTGTGCTAATAATGTCTAGGATTTATTTTGTCCTACATCACATCATTACAGACTTCTTGACGAACTCAGAAGTACATAGATTTAAATAGTTTTTTTAAAACCTTGAATAGTTATGGTTCTGATTTCAACTTACATACCTAGGGAAAAATATAAACTTTCATAAAATAAAGTTTTATAGAAACCTTAATATCACTCAACAATGTGAAGAGTATTTTTTTTAAGTTTTAAAATTAACCCCCCCAAAAGTTATTTCTGAGGATGATTACTTAAAATTCTTATTTAAGGCATTAGAGAGAATCTAAGATACTGTTGAATTTTTATAACTGTTATAGGTAATTTATCATGGTGGTAGGATTTGCGTGTTTATCTTTGAGTGTGTGATCATTGGAATCTAGGACGTTCTGATTCTTTATTTTCAAGTTGTTTCATGTCTTAATGCTTCAGTGTCTCTTTAAAAATTATCAATAGCTGTGTATGACCGAATGCGAGCAGATCAGAAGAAATTTGGTAAAGCGTCATGGGCAGCAGCTGCTGAACGCATGGAAAAACTCCAGTATGCGGTTTCTAAGGAGACTCTGCAGATGATGAGGGCTAAAGAGATATGTTTGGAACAGAGGAAACATGCACTAAAAGAAGAGGTAACAAAAACCATGAGAAAGTATATTTAAATTTTTTTTTAAATTAAGATGTGCTATTTGACTATTTTGGGTGGGGAGGGAGGGGATGGATACAAGATTAATATTTTTCTGGCTCTTCAGGCCAGGGTTAACTTTGCACACTATCTCCACGAGATGGTAACTTTCACAACAGGGCCTGTGATAGAAGAGTTAGACATGTGTGACCTTTTTCACAGCATCCCTGTGTGACTGTAGTCAGCAACAATGTACTGTAAAAAAGGAGCATTCATTTCCTATCTCCCCACACCTAGGCACCCACCAATCCGTTTTTTATTTCTATAGATTAGTTATTCTGGACATTTCATATAAATGGAATCAGAAGATGTGACTTTTTTGACTGCTTTTCTTTCCTGTAGCATAATGTTTTCAAGGTTCAACCATGCTGTCACATGTCTCATTCTTAATTTACTTTTTTTGCCAAATGATACACCACTGTATAGTTATAACACATTTTATGCATCTATCAGTTGATGAACAGTTGGGTTCTTTCTACTTTGGGAGCTTTATGAATAAAGCTTCTATGAATATTTCTATTTAAGGTTTTCATTTATATTGGTGTAAACCTAGGAGTGAAATGCTATTTAAACTGTTGAGTAACTGCCAGAATGTTTTCCCAAGCAGCTGTACCATTTACATTCCCACTAGCAGTGTGCACTCAATAGTATTTCTTCACATCTTTCTTATATTATCACTAATACTGTTTTTTTTAAATTATTATAACCAATCTGGTGGGTGTGAAGTGGTATCTCATTGTGAATTTGATTTGCATTTCTCTGATGACATTGATGTTATCTTTTTGTGTGCTTATTGGCCCCTTATGTGTCTTTAGAGAAATGTCTATTCATATCTTTTACCTGTTTTGAAATTGAATTTTTAAAATTACTGAGTTGAAAGAGTTGCATATTCCAGGTATGTCTTTTGTCAGATATACGATATGCAAATATTTGCTCCTGTTTTTTGGATTGACCATATTGGCGTTTAATAACATTGAATGTGTATTTGTGAAAGTTGTACATTTTAGTCTCTAGAGAAGAATAAAACATCATCATTGCTTTTATTAATACAGCTTTATGTATAATACTTTGCTCTATGAATGTATGTATGCATGTTTAACTAGTATATGAGGTAACTTATAATATATCATGGCTATGATCTAGAAAGATCTTTCTGTTAATGAATTTTAAATTATGAACTTCTTTTTCCCTTACATTTTCTTATTTGCTGCTGTTGTTAAAGGTAAAACTGGAACTTGTTCTGGAATTTTCCACACTTCATTTAGACTCTCTTCACAGATTTCAGTTCCATCTCCTTTATGTTCCTAGCTTTCTCCTTTGTGTGACTAGCTGTCTGGAATTTTCTTAAGTTCTAGAACTTTAAAACTTAAAATGCCAGCATTTTATTTCTTCTGAGGTAGAATGTCACATTGGCTGGCTTTATTGTAACCAGGATGAATTGTACTGACAGCATAGGGCATCTAAAAGAGCTGCTGAGGGGTAAGATTTTTGACTGTTTGCTGTTGCAAGAACATCATCCTTGCTGGAATTGATCTCTGCTGGAAGAGGAAGGGTGAGGCTGAAATGGGCCAGAGAGTATGGGGTCATTTTTCCTGGGGTCATCCCAGTACCTTAATAGTCTGTTTTTTAGTGTTCTGAATTGTGTTTGAATTCTTCAAAGGATTTAGTAAGATTATAGGTTAGTCATTTTTGCCAGGTTTATGCTTGTTGAGTGATATAATATACATATTGTGATATATATATAAATCTCTGTTGATGACTGCCCTAGTTTATTAGCATTAATTTAAGGTGACCACATGACTCATAAGAAACAGACCAAATGTGATTTATTAAGCCCATCCCAAACAAATACTTTGCCAGTGAGTACTTTATAATACAGCACTAGCCTGTGGTTTAAATTATGAGAAGACTTACGTTCTTTTAAAAAATGTTGATATGTTGCATCTCCTTAGGTTATTTTTAAAAACAAAAAACTTCTTCGTGATGTGACAGTGACCATGGGTATAATGCTAAACTTCAAACAATTTTTAAACTAATGCTGAAATATTAAATACCACCCAGGCAAGTAAAATTTTATTTGACTTAGGAGTAAGTACTGTTCCTTTTCATCTATCTCCTTTTTAACTGAGTCTTGATTATAGTCATTCTCACCCCTACAGCTAGGAACGCTGTACTCAGAGAAAAATATACACATACAGCTTTGTACACAAATTTAGTAGGTTCTTAAATCGTCTGATCCCAGGTTGCCTGGTGGTGTTGGTATCTCTCCAACTAGATATGTTCTTATTTTTATTTTCAATGCAGATGCAGAGTTTGCAGGGTGGTACAGAAGCCATAGCTAGATTGGATCAGTTAGAAGCCGATTATTATGATCTACAACTTCAGTTGTATGAAGTGCAGTTTGAAATCTTAAAGTGTGAAGAGTTACTATTGACAGCACAACTGGAAAGCATCAAAAGACTTATATCGGGTATGATGTACATCTAACCACTAAAATCCACAAAAATGTATTTGAATGAATGATGGAATTTCGCCATGTGTTTGTTTGCACACCTAGGGAAAGTGTGCATGGACTCCAGCTATATTTTTTCTGCTGAAACTAAAAAAACGTCTTAATGTAAAGTCAGACAAATGGTTTAGTAGAAGTAGAGTGCAAATATGTTATTACCTTTGTAAAATACTTATTTGGTAAGTAACTTACTTTGTTGCTTCAGCCAAAATTTGTATACTCAAATTTCGAATTTGGGGAGCAAGGGTCACGGCATCTTACACTGAGCACTTAACTGTGTGCTGGCCATTGCTAAGCCCTTTGCACACACATTCCTCCTATGAGGTGTATTTCCCAATAATCACTATTTTACAAAGAAACTCAAGATGTAATGGCTTTGCCTGAGGTTACAGAATCAGTGAGTGGATCAGAACCCTCATCTCTCTGGCTCTAAAGCCCATGCTTTTACCTACTACTATCCCTTGTTGCTGTTTTGTAACAGAAAAGAGAGATGAAGTGGTATACTACGACACTTATGAAAGCATGGAGGCCATGCTGGAGAAGGAGGAGATGGCATCATCTGTGCACTTACAGAGAGAAGAGCTACAGAAACTTCAGCAGAAAGCACGCCAGCTGGAGGCAAGACGTGGACGGGTTTCAGCCAAGAAAGCATACCTCAGAAATAAAAAGGTTATGTATTTATTGAATTTATAACTGTAATGCTACGTCTTGCTTTTATTTATTACTTAATCCTTGACCCATATCTAATAATTCTAACCCAGTTTGTCACTAATACTTATCTTTTAAAACTAAGTAAGAATTACCTCTTCTCAATACTTGGCCCATTATATTGACATTACGTAGTTATCTAAGAATTACCCTCTTAAACACATTAGAATAGCCAGCAGTGATGTGCTGTTTGCCCCAGTCACCCCAAAGCTGACTCTGCTTGGGCATGACAGCAGGACTCCATGTAATGCAATTCCTGGCTCCTTACTTTAGGAGGCCAGGGATGCTCTACAATTAAGTAGACTAGTTCTGACCTCAGTCTTCAGGGACATTTTAATTTTTATGTAAAAACACGTACCAATTTAATCCATGTTTTTCACTCTTCATTCTTACATTAGTCTAAATCTTGAAGTAGGGGAACTTACTGCCAGAGATTCTGCCTATTTACACTGGAAGCCTCTGGTCTGCTGCAGCTCATCATATCACACAGTCAGGGGTCTCTGAATGGTTTTGGCCTTCTGCCCTCCCCTCTCCATGTCCCCAGACGCCCAGGTCCAACAACTGAGGTGACAACTGCAGAGGGACGGAGGAGTGACAGAAGGCTGGAAAGAGAGGAAATTAGAAACTTTTCTAAAAAGAAAGATAATGAGAAGATCAACCATGTGATACAAAAAGATAAAAATAGATTCTCTATGTGACATTGTACATTCTGTATTGTCTACATGCCTACATGCCTGGGGTCACAGGCTCCCTGGTTAATCTGGCAGCTGCAATAGAATTTAATACCCAGGGGTAGTTCTGACGATAAGTGAATCATGCCCCACCTTTCTTCTTGAAAGAACAAAGATGGTCTCTTGCTGTGCCATGAAGACTTGGTCTGTGCTCTGTTAACTTTTATTAAATTAAATTTTCAAGAAGAATAACATCCTTGTTTTTGTATATTACCTTCTATAACACTCCTAGTAGCCAAAAAGCATTCTCATACTTGATTTGGTGGCAAACTCAGACCTGAACAAATATATAAGTACTCTTTTCTTTGTCCTGCTTACTTTGACTATTCATATATTTCACTCAAAATACTTCTTACTCTACTTCAGATCCTGCTGGAGTTACTGGGTAATAGGTGGCATATGCAACGTATCACCTTGCTAAAATAAAAAGATTCAAAATTCTAAAACTCTGCTCTAAATTAGGAATTGTAGACTTGTATCCTCATTTTATAACCAGGGGAACTAAGGTTTCCAGCAGTTAAATGAACCTCCTGAGAAAAAGCAGCTAGTATGGATCAAAGATAGGATTCTACCCTAGATTTATGTGATGCAAAAGCTTGAGTCCTATTTAATACTATTTTCATGTGATCAGAATCAGCATACCTGTCACATACTGTTATCATACTTTCTAGTCTTTAAGGTCTCCTTTAGCTCCAAAGTCTCTGACCAGAATATTCAGATTTTATGCTACTGTTTAAACCAGTGCAGGCAAGATCACATTCATCACAGAGTGCTTAAGAAACAGGCTTTAAATCAGGAGTTATGTATCCTTTTTTCTTCATACTAGTTTAAAGAGTACAGTAATACTTAGAATCTTCTGATCACAGTCTTCAGAGTTGAGAGAGACTTTTGAAATTAGGTATGCCCTTCTTCCACTCTACCGTGCCCTTCTAAAAAAGGGAGAAGTCAGGAATTACAGAGATGTTAAGTTTAATAGAAGAGTTTAATAAATTATTTTGGATTTATGTAGCTTCAGTATTCCAGATGAGAAACCAGAGATGACTTAACTTGATAGTTTGCTATGTAGGTATATGTCAAGATTAAGATTTAATTTATCAAATAAGTCGTTTCACTTAAATTAAAATACATTTCATGTATTTATAGGAAATTTGTATTGCAAAACACAATGAAAAATTCCAACAGCGCCTTCGGAGTGAAGATGAATATAGGACCCACCACACAGTACAACTAGTAAGTTTGTACTCTTGAAAACTTACAGTAAAACTTCGATTTTTACATATTTCAAAGTGAATGACATCTATAGAGAATAAGAAAAATGTTATAGATAGATACTAGCCTTACGTCACTATACAGCCATCCCTCAGTATCCATGGGA